TTCGGGTCTGCTCATAGATACCGAATTTTGGATTTTGGCGGAAAGTCTAAGATTTCTGATGGATTACTATGTTTCTAGCCTCAATTTGAGCTGTTTTTCATTTATCATTAAACGCTTTCATCTTTAAACGAACGTTTTTAGAACTCGGAACTTCGTCAAGAACGCGATAATCTTGAAATCCAACTTGAGAAAGCTCGTCAACAGTTGTATGAAATTACCCAAGGAAAAAGTGTTGATGAATTTGAACAAGACATTGCAGATCTAAAAGTTAGTTGATTTCTTTTGACGAAAGGTTTTGGGAGCAAAGATCGATTTGGTCTTGATTTTATCCATTGCTCCCCATTTCTTGAATTTAGGAAAAGAAAACACGACTGGAAACCCAAATTATTGAAAGCGAAACCGAGATGGAAGTGCTCAAAGGGAAAATCGATTCGGTTTCGCAAGAAAACGAAGATCTCAAGACGAAGGTAAACAACTCGTATCGCATAGTGTTGTTATTTATTTCTATATCGGTCTGCTAATTTTTTTTGAGGTTGGTCAGATAAGACCATTCGAAGACGAGTTCCGTCGGCTTCGAGATGAGGTTGAGGAATTACGGGTGAAAGAGGCAGATCACTCAAAGTTGCAGCAAGCTTATGAACAGCTCAAGAATAAGGCCAAAGATAGCAGTAACGATAGAGCAGAGGTATGTTTCTTCACTATAACTTTTTATTCAACTATATCAATCGATCAATAAAATACCGTTCTTCCACTTCTTATCCTCTTCTTTGTTCATTAGTTGTCTTTTTGCCAAAAAAAAATAAATAAATAGATCTTATTATCGCATCATTTCTTAAGGAAGATTTTCATGCTGCTATAATCTTGACGGTGTTGCACTTTACGTTGTCGATAAACTTAGATGTTTTGGCGTGATTCGTAGAGCCAGGCAACACCGGCAGAATTTCTGCATTTCTTCATTTTGTTGAAATAACTTTTTCTTTTCGCTGCTCATCTCGAAGCATGGGAGTTCCGTGTTCGAAAAGGCGAAACAAGGTTATTTTCTTGATTCTTTTTCCCTAATGCGCTTTTTTGAAAAACTCCTTATATGATTAGTAACCAGTAATAGCTTCAGTTTGCACGTCGAACTGTTCACTAATATGATTGTACGCGTTATTGTTATGAATCGAAAGTAAATTGTGCATTTACTATTATTTCATGTGTTATTTCCAGCTTCTGGTTCTGCGCGAGAAGGTAAAGTCCTATGTTGAACATGGGATGCTATTAGAGGATGAGCAACGCAAAAATAAGGTATCTAGTTTTTTTTTTTCAACAGACATACACTACTTAGAATTTTTCTGGTTGTATCTTCTAGACTCTACGTACGCAAATGGGCTCTTACAAAGCGCTATCGGAAGAGAAATCTCGAGAAAATGACAAACTGATTATCAAAGTTGACAAGGTGATTTAATCGAGGAGTTTGTTAAAGATTTCCCTTCAGGACGGAATCACTAATGACATTTTTAGTTGGAGCACGAGCTCGCAACTGCCAAAGATCGTCTAGCAGCCGCGGAAACCCGAGTCGAAGGTCTTGTGCAGGAGAAGATCATTCTGGAAAACAAGATCGCTCATGAGCGTGAGTATCCTCGTATTATGATTGCAATTCCGATGATGCCATTGATGTATGCCATGCTGAAAATTATCCTATCCCATATATTCAGGTTAATGCTTAAAGTCTAGCAAGATTTTAGACTTTTTTCTTGCACTTGCAGTTACTTATAAATGTTTTTGTGCAAAAAGGTGCTTAGCACTTCTTCATTTATTTGCCAAAAATAAGTCCAGCTTATCGTCTTACATCTAAGATGTGTAGAGGGATGATTTAAAAATATGAATCTGCAACCACTTTGGTAGAGGTCTCTCCGCTGCTATCACTGCCCTCATGTAAGCCAAATCCTTTCCGTTTCTCACCTAACATGAAAGTTCGTTTTACTTGAGTAAAACTAGTAGTTATAAAGCTATAACCATGGGCGACCAATGCCAAAATAATTGCAATCGACTGTGGAAAAGCTATTGATTGTATTAATACTCACAGAAGCGAAATAAAATCGTGTTGTCCCAATCATTCGTGCTTTTATTTGTCATCATAGCGCATTGTTCACTGTTCTGCCGCAATCATATGTGGAACTTTGCATAATCGATTCGAACATCTCTGCTGTTAAAATCATGTCGAAACCTTATTAATCTGCTTTTTGGCACCAACGGCTTATCTCCTAATTTTTATACTCTTTATCGTTCTATACTTCCATTTTCTATTACCTCTCTTCTCGCTTTATTTTGAGAGATTGTTTATAAATTTAGTTTTCCATTTTTAATGATGATATCCTGTTGAAGTGAAATTAGTGTCCTTAAGTTTTTGAGCATTTTGTTCCCTAAATTCATGATTAATTTCCTTTACCTCTTCGAGTTTGTAGCCTTACAGCAGACGCATATAATCATTCTATCTAAAAGTATTGCTTGGATGCCACTTCATTTATTATAATCATTTTCACAGGCAGAAAATTATCAATTTCTTTTACGCACTTATCAATGAACTTTAAATACACTTATGGAGACATTTTACCGCAGTTCT